CAGTTTGAGATGTCGGCAACCTGAATTATGGTAGTAAATTGATTCGCATTTTCTTTTTACAAATATTATTTTTTTTACTTTCAGATATACTTATGTATAATGAAAAAAGCTTGAGTTATTTAATCTAAAAAAATAAAGCGTCTATTGACATTACCATTGAGATTTTTTTCCTCGAAAACACTTAATTCAAAAAATAATGTGATTTCTCTGCCAATGATGGTGTTCTTTATCTTTAATCGTAGCTTTATTCAAAAAATCTCTGTCCTACTGTGCTTTTGAAGCATGTTCCTATAGAACATAATATATCAGTATATCTCTGAACTCTTAGAATACAAGACGTCATCTGCAAATTACCTAATAAAGATTTACAGCAGACTTGGTTCAAGATACTTCAAAGACAGTTATTAGTTATTGAACGACCGATAATCAAATTAAAACTAGCTACTAATATTTGGAGCACTCGATAGAATTTCATGTGAAGAATTTTTATAGCGGTCACACCACATGGCGGTCAAAGCAAAGCCCTTTATAGTTGACAAGGGACATATTTTACACATTTAACTACTGGTTTCAATTCGGACGAAACAATAATGAGTGGGTTTTTATGGGGGCGTAAATACTGACTTGCTGTGTCACTTAAACGATAACGATTTGTTGAAAAGAAAAACTTGTCGGTTTAAATAAATACATAAATCAGAGCATTGCGATTTATCGATTTAAACATTCGTTTTGAACTCGTAAATTTATGTAAATTTAAACGTATTTATTAATTTATGTCTTTGTTTTTGGTTCGTTCGAATACGGAACATATTGTTCAGTTTTTGATGTTATTTTTTTGTTTAATCTATTGTTTGCTTGGTACTAAGCTATACTATACGGTACTAAGTTATAACTCTCTTTGGGGTTTAGAATATTGTTCCAGCGGTAACTTTGTGGTAAGCGTCGATGCCGCCCAAAGTGGGATAATGAAAAGAAGGAGAGTAAGTTTCTGGTAAGTGGTAAGTCGAAAGCTTGCTTGAGTCGTTAAAAAAAATATCGAGTGCGACCTTTTTTACGTTTTGTCTAATATATTCCTTGGTCTAACTATTCCTTCGCACAATACTCCGTGACAGTGTGGTCTCATTAAATCGGCTATGAAAGAAATTGGCGAGACTAGCGGGCCGGAACTATAAACACTCCATAATCATGACCATGCCGTCAAGAACGACTGACTGAAAACATTTCGAAGATCGGAAATACACGAAATCGACTGTTTAAATTACATACTTTATGTTATAATAAATAATAATGTAATAATTCTGTTTTATAAAAATCTGTGCTATTATGAGACAATTTTTGTAATAATATTTCAGATAATATATTTATTAACTAATAAAATACTCAAATGGTCTACAAGTCAGAGATCGAGACAAAAAGAAATGCCCAAAAGAAATAACTACACACGGATCGGTATCAAATGCGATTGTTTTTTTCAAAAGCCTCATACTATGTCTTATACCTTATAAGAAGATAATGAGTACCTAGTCAGTTGTATAGAAGTCGCTTCAGAGGTGATGCCAATTTCTATGAACAAAGTAATACTATGAAATAAGTGTGTTAATAATATTTAGAAGTCAAACTAAAATGCGTTTGCCGCAATTGACAAATACAATGAGTAAAATTATTAAAAATGTAGTAGAAACATGAGATACCACTGCAATGCAATACAATTGGAAGTTACCAGAAAAGGGGCGACAGAAAAAGTGACTAATAAAAGTTGACAATGACAGAAGAGATAGAACATTGAATACGACGTAAAGATGTGGCGTACAAATTTCATTCTTATCGAAACATTAATTTCCATTGACACAGAAACATTTCATTAAAGATGTCCTGGATAAAGATTACACATTAAGGGACTGGATAAAGACATTACGTATATAGTACAAGAAAAGTAGACTGAAATTTACACTAATTAAAATAACTAAAAACTCGATGTTGTAATTAAAAATATGCTAATAATATAACCCGGCACAAATGCAACTATTTAATGCGTTAAAGACTTCGACCTATATAAAAGAAAAACATTATTAGTATCAAAAATTCGAGAAATCACTTTATCAAGAATCTAAGTGGTCTTTTCCGGTTATAAATAATTTACTCGTATCTGATATTTATATAAACTTATAATTCAAAGGCAATAAATTTTCATAATATGTAACGTATTTATGACGATAACGAACACATGCTCAACCTAAATTAATCCACATAACACAAAGGGCTGAATCACATGGAAATGAATCATACAAATAAATTACACTTTTCGATCCGCCCAATCTGAGATATATGTGCACTTATAAACTATAAAAGTGCACATTACAACCGCTAATATCTTCAACACATTAGTGATGCATTAATGTTACGAAACGGTATAGGAGAGATCACATGTGTCTAATTAAAACGTTTACAATTAATAAATCGGTTTCAATATTTTTGTCTCTTAAGAAATGTCGTTTGAAAATTTCATTGCATTTGTTCATTCACACTGATTCTTGTTTCTGCTATCTTAGCGTGGGACTGAAATTATTTTCCCACAAATTCGTTCTTTAAGGATAGCCGCTTTTGCTTTAAAAATGAGTCCTACATTAGATTGTATTAAACAATTTGCTCACTGACTACCTTCATTGGGTATATCTCCATAATTATTTATTTGTATTGAGGGTATAATCTAGGGTGCTGACTGATCCTTCGGTTGGCCTGAAAACCCTAGAGGCAATCCGCTCGGTCCTCGGGAACTGAGTGAATCGTGTCTGAAAGACACCTCGCTTTCTGACTGTTATAAGTGCTGATTTATAACTTCCGAAAGAACCTGCACTGGGTCGGAGGTAAGCGACGGTAGAGTATCGTTGTTATGGATGCGACTTGGACACACACGCCTGAACCTCGTCGCACAAATTGGGACTGAATTGACGTGACTGTCAAGCTTGGCAGCGAAGACACTCCAAAACATAGGCGGAAGTACGACAATTTTCTCCTGACCCAAGAAAAAGTGCATTTATAAACTTATGGCGAAGATTGAAAGCATCAAACAGGCTTAGTTTCGATCAAACCTCTAAATCAATTAAATTTAATATTGCCGTTATTAAAAATATAACAAAAAAAAAGAAGAATCAAGCGTAAGAATAATTGTTTACTAGGTCAGTTGATAGTTTGATGGAGTAGATTTTTGTATGTACATACGCATTTGGGGTGTACATGTTCAATAAAACCAGTTAATTAGCAAAGCCTGTCTATTATAATATAACATTCGAAGATATTTTCAAACAAACAACGACTTGTATTCTTCTACCCACTCATTTAAAGCTTTCCTTCGTTAAGAACGGTAAGCTGGTAGAAAACTCAATTGGTGAGTTAAGCTCGCCATTTTTTATATCTTACGCAATTATTGTAATATTAACTGTGTGTACAATAAAGAATAAAGAGACTTAAAAATTATGAAATTCCGTGAATTTTTTTTGTACATTATATACACGTAAATGAGCCACAATCACAAATAACTATAAATATAAACAGAATTAAAAGCAAATATCCAAAAAACCAAACGAAGCTAACATTCAACAAATGCACTACTTTCTCAAACATCGAAGCGTTCAGTGATTGAACCAACAAAAGATTAGTCATGGATGTGTTGATGTTTGTACTTCATTTATATTCCAACTAGAGCCTCCATATAAAGTTTATGGAATTATGATCTAGCCCCAGCTTGACCCCGGAAGACCCGGTGCAACGCCATGATCACACCATTGAATGAAATTAATATCATTTCCACATTCCATTCCACAGACAGTCTACGATAAATCTGCAATCAGCCTAATTGAAAATCATCTGAATACAACCTATAAATTAACGACATGTATGCATTTAATTTTATCACCAACATCTTATTACAATTACAATGCTGGTTTTAATTGGTAGGCAGCGGCTTGGCTCTGCCCCTGGCATTGCTGACGTCGATGAACGACGGTAACCATTCACCATCAGGTGGGCCGTATGCTCGTATGCCTACAAGGGCAATAAAAAAAAATTATGAAAATTTTACAAATGATATTTTTATTTTGTTTTTAAATCGCACAAGTAACATTCGAATAGCAAAACTAAAATGTAAACGGGGATTACACTTAGAAATTACTAGCAAAGATTTCCGTTAGATAACCGGCTATCTAACTTATTGGATTTTAGAACTAGAAACACCGGGATTAAACTAGAGATCATCCATTAACACGATTAACTTACGGCTGTTCCGATACACGGGAGTATTAAATTGGATTTAACTCCAATGAATAAGCATTGGGCTTACTTCGGCTGGCAGATTAAGTTGCACGTTTCGATATGGCTGGCAACTATTAAATGAAGATCTTATTTTATTTTACATTTTATTTTATCTCGAAAATATGAAATCAGGTTAAAATACCGTGAAATTGCAGTAAGCGAGTTTTTATATTAATATCAGCGGTCGGGTTACATCCGTCTGCGGAATTAAAATGAAAAAAGTTGATGTTTCCTCGCGCGTTTTCATTTTTGATGGAGCAAAGTTCGTTGTTAATTTTAACATGAAATTTATTTGGAATGCGGTGTGTTTTATAAAAACTTTGTCTACACCTGTTGATGTAAATAAAAGCGTTATCGTATTTACGATAAACAAGTCTTGTGAGTCCGCACGGGTAGGTACCACCGTCCTGCCTATTTCTGCTGTGAAGCAGTAATGCGTTTCGGCTTGAAGGGTGGAGCAGCCGTTGTAACTACACTGAGACCTCAGAATTTATATCTCAAGGTGTGTGGCGCATTTACGTTTGTAAATGTCGATGGGCTTCAGGTACCATTTAACACCAGGTGGGCTGTGAGCTCGTCCACACATCTAAGCAATAAAAATAAAAAATGTACCTATTTGGCAAAATTTTCAAATAATTCTTGGATTTTCTTTTTATGCATCCTGAAACAAAATCATTTCATATTGTTCACAGGTAGTTGGCCGCGAAGGTGTTCTAGCCTCGTCTTCTGAGAGAGAACTAAGATGTGGAAGTCGTCTTGTGTCAGGACTATTCTCGAAGCCACGACTTCCGCTCGGATACTCTTACGTAACGACAGTGCCTCGTGGAGCTTGCCGACTCAATGTAACTGAAGTAGTTCCTAGCGAAAACTACATTGGTTAGTACAATTATAGTTAAAATAAATTTGTTTTATAATGTTTAGTAATTGCTATGCAGATATAATACTTAACATTTATTAACATAAAACTGATGAAAGAATATCAGAAATATCTCCACTATTCATATCTGTTAAACATAATTACAGCACCCAACTGCCTGACGTGGACAACGTGAAATTGTCGTCGAATACCCAATTTCATGATTCGGCAGCCTTGTAACACATTTCTATTTGTCTCCGCGTCAATATCGATTTACATTGGTATGACGAATGAAATTTAGGACACACGATCTTAAATTAAAAGATGAAGTGTTCGTCGGTGCAAAGATCGATGTCGAATCGGTTAATAGAAATTGCACACGCCAATAGCGGCATTGCTCTTCAATAGAGGCGCCTACGCCGCAAATTGCGAGATAAATGGAGGTAGCCGGCTGCACAATTGGTGGTTAATTATTCGCATGACGCAGCTTGTACCAATTTAGATGAACCAATTCGTTGAAGCTTCCTTAACTTTCGTTTACTGTTGTTACAGCATTGAAAGAATCCAATGGCACGTACATTATAAATGGGGAATTTGCTGTGAGTGCGCCTGGAACTTACGATGCTGCTGGAGCCCGATTTTTATACACCCGAACGGCCAGTCTTGACGGCATTTTTGCTGTGGGTCCGATACATAAACCCATTGACATAATGGTAATTAAAAAAAAACAACTTAATACAATTAATTAAACAGAAGCAACCATGCTATTTTTTCATTTGATATACTAATCTATTGTATAATTGCAGATATTATACACACAACCAAACCCGAATATTAGGTACGAATATTTAACTGACACGGAAGATGAAACCAGTAACGACATTCCGACTTCAATGCCTCCCGCCCATCACCAGATGCAGAGGCATCACCGTCACCACCCACCACCCCATAGCTTGCCCAGAACAGATTCTTCTATATCGAAGGAATCAAATTTCTATAGCCTTGAAAGCCAATCACAAGCGGAAAGTAACGTGATCGGAGATAGGAAATTTATGTGGAAAATTATGTCTTTCACCCCGTGCTCTCGTACCTGTGGCGGAGGACTACAAATCGGAAAGTTCAAGTGTGTAGAAGTTGGTTTAAAAGAAGACAAAGAGGTATCTCCAGTGCATTGTACTGGTGCGGCACCACCTTCCCGCCGACGGAGGTGTTCTGGGGCTCCATGTCCTCCCCGTTGGAGGGCTGCAGCGTGGGGTCCTTGTCCGGTCTGCGGACCAGCCCACAGAACTCGAATTGTGGGATGTGTTCAGGATCATGCTCGAGGAATTATCAAGGTAAGGACAAATTCCTTCGTAAAAAGAACTTTATAAAAACTTGTATTTTCTAAATGTTCTTCATCCAGCTCTTGTAGTAGTAACTTTCAACAATCACCGCAATCTTGATAGATCCACAATCTGATCCACTCTCGACGCTGTTAGAAGCTGCTGACTCTAATGTTTTTGTCGAAGTTGTTGTCACAATACTGTTTTTAGATTCAGCCCCTTTTTCTACACAATTAATGCCCATTATTAAATATATAGGTTCTACTTTATCTATATATTTCATAACAATATTTCCAATTACGTCCAGAGCTGTCAAACGAAGAATACTAAATTTTTGCTTTATTTCAGATAAGCGATCAAAAGTGCCCATTGCCAATGCCACCAAGCAGTGAGCGCTGTAATGTTCCAAACTGCGATGGCTCAGTAACTACCACAGCTTTGCCACGTCTCGATTCACGACGCCAAGTACGACCAAAAGATCGAACGGATCATTTCCGAGAAGGCCCTGTTATAACTCTTGCAACAAATTTAACAGACAATGAGATAACTTCCACTCCGCCCCCTTCGTATAGTTTCAGTGCTGGTGGAGGCTGGTTATATACGGAATGGTCCGAGGCAAGTATGATTAAAAACCCGTCTGTAATTAAGGAACAAGCAAAGACATTTTATTTTTAAGCAAATAAATAACGCTTTAACTTTTGGGGAGTTCCTTTTCCTAATTCCATCGTCAATCATTTACCCACTAACTGGCGTCATGTGTGAGTCAAAACAAAAATGTACTCGTTAAAACGAAAATTTGGTGAATATTGTTTAGCAATCTGCATAACGAGGAGACAAAGGCTATTTCGTTTAAGCCAGATTTCACTTAATACGCGACATTTATCTTTGTATTTAAAGGTCCATTTTATTTAGTATTCGTATCAATAATTCGATGTTTTTTGTTTGAACTTCAATTAAGTTTACCCCATTCAAATATCTGAAGAAGTTTTTTGTTATGATATTTTTCCCGAGTTTTAAACTTTAAATGCATACCTTTAAATGTTCATCTGTAAAATTGCAAAAATAAATGTCACCAAATAGTCTTTCACCCCTCGATATAAAACTCTCGAGAATATGAAAAATTCTGTAGTAAATCAGGAAACTTATACTCCGTTCCAATTACGAAGTCCCTTTTGACACTTCTTAGATCGTAACTCTTCACGTTTCGCATAATTTGAAATTAATCATTTTTTGCTCATGGTCGTAAACATTATTTAAAAAATACACAATCAATCTAAATCATTATACAAATTAATTCACACAAACAATAACATAATAATAATATGACAGATATTCATCATGGGACTTCGTAATTGGAATAGAGTATAGTAATGAGGCATTATTCTTATTACTTTCTCAGTCCCATCTATTACACATATAACATTTAATTATCACTTTTAATTATTATTCTCATAATCCCCTCGCGGGTCTGCTGGAAGAGATTTCTTAAAGAAATAAGCAGTGCCTTTGTACATAATTTTCCTATTACTCTGTACTATGTCTTATTTTTTGTGTGTACATAAATAAGTAAATAAATAAATAAAAAATTAACTTAGTTTGATTTTTCAAAATGTTCAAATTGGTTATTTTTGTAGTGTGTTGGTTGGTGTGTGGGCGGCGGTGTACAATCTAGAGGAGTAAGATGCGCCGATCCTTCTGGATGTTCATCGCACCGTGCACCATTGCCTACCCAAACTTGTAGCGTGCGAAGCCAATGCGATTCTCAATGGTTCACAAGTAAGACAAGTAAAAATTCTATATCCTGATGAAATACCAGTTGCACAGAGATATTTAAACCAAAAACAAACTAGCAAAAGGGTCAAAAAGGTAAAGAAGTTATCATTTCCCAACCCTGTAAATATGTTCGAAACTAATGTTACAGGTTAAGCCCAAGACTGATATCTTGATAAGTAGCATACTAACTAGTCCAATATATGAAGTATCTTAAATGAATTTAACAAACATGACTATGAGCCGCAAAAGTACCTGTGCAAAAGTTCAATTGATTTAAGAATCGTCTGGGTATACTTTTCTTTGCTAGCATCATTGATGTGGAACACTATTTCTTTTTTATATTTTTTTATTACATAGATAGGTAGACGGGCTCACAGCCCACCTGGTGTTAGTGGTTACCGAAGTCCATCGACATCTACAAGGGCTGCCACCCACTTTGAGATATAAGTTCTAAGGTCTCAGTATAGTTACAACGGCTGCCCTACCCTTCAAACCAAAACGCATTACTGCTTCACGGCTGAAATAGGCAGGGCGGTGGTATCTACCCAGGTCCAACCACCAGTAAAACATCTACATCTAGATATTATCAAAAGACAAAACAAATTTAATCAAAAATAGTCTCAAGCGTTATATAATTTTATGCTATCTACAGACTGTGAGCAATTTGAATAGAATGCGCGGAATCTGGTAAACATTGTTATCTAGTCTACAAAACCAACAAAAAACATTGTCTTCTTGTCACTTCAAAGAAGTTGGTTTGCCAAGAAAACCTAAAGTCGTCTTGAGTATTTGTTTAAGAACAAACTGGTCGTATTGAATGTTAAAATTTATATGGTTATTTTTAAATACCTATAAATCAATTGTAGTGTGGAATCTATAGTCTCGGATTATCGGAGGGAGACTGTTTCGTGTTTTGTGGCAGACGGATTTTACTAAAACACGAATATTTATGCTTAATTTACTAAATGATTAGTGTTGTCTGTATAATTTGGATTGGTTTATTCCCATTTCGGTTCCTACGACGGTTTCAATATTTTCACCACATTTTAATAAACAAAATAAGTTAACACAGCGTTAATTCAAAGATTCGGAATGGCCATACGTTTTTTTTAATCGCATAGATGGGTAGGCGACGTAAACATGGGTAGGCGATGTAAACGCCGCCACCCACCTTGAGACATGAGTTCTGAGGTCTCACAGTTTTTACAGCATAATGGCTGCCCAACCCTTCAAACCGAAACGCATTAACTACTTCACGGCAGAAATAGGCAGGCCCTAACATTTTCCAAATTAATTCATAACCAAATATAATAAAAGCTTACTTTTGATTTCTAATCTCAATTCCAATAACGTTACTTACCATAAAAAAACAAAACAATACTTGTATACTTTATTTGTATTCTGTAGGTCCATTATATAGAAACAATAGACTTTTACTGGTGGTAGGACCTCTTGTGAGTCCGCGCAGGTGGGTACCACCGCCCTACCTATTTCTGCCGTGAAGCAATAATGCGTTTCGGTTTGAAGGGTGGGGCAGCCGTTGTAACTATACTTGAGACCTTAGAACTTATCTCAAGGTGGGTGGCGCATTTACGTCGTAGATGTCTATGGGCTCCAGTAACCACTTAACACCAGGTGGGCTGTGAGCTCGTCCAACCATCTAAGCAATAAAAAAAAAAAAAGAGAACCGTTAGTTACGTCATGTAACTGGCTTACAAAGGCGGATAAACAGACAATCCTTTTAATTAATGAAACTTAATTTTGCACGTCACTGCCTTTCATGAGGCTTCAACAAGGACAATAAGTTTTATGCTTCTCGTAAAAAGTAACGTTTTTTTACACGATACATATATCGGCTGTTATATATTTAGAAACAATATAATATTTACTGGAGATTGTTATCTAATATTTTACTATCACCATGCACCACATTTCGGATGGCAATAAATTATAATGATATTATTCTATTAGTGCTTATTTATCTAAACCACAAATCGCTCCAAAATAGTATTATTTTAATTTACTTACTGGTGGTAGGACCTCTTGTGAGCCCGCACGGGTAGTTACCACCACTCTGCCTATATTCGGCCGTGAAGCAGTAATGCGTTTCGGTTTGAGGGCTGGGGCAGTCGTTGTAACTATACTTGAGACCTTAGAACTTATATCTCTTATCTAGGTGGCACATTTACATTGTAGATGTCTATAGGCTCCAGTAAACACTTAACACCAGGTGAGCTGTGAGCTCGTCCACCCATGTAAGAATAGAAAAAAAAACGTTTTGTGATTATCAATTCTGTGTTATCAGTTCTGCTTCATTTTTTTGGTAATAGGCGAATGGTCAAAGTGCTCCGCTGGATGCGGTGGCCGACAGGTTCGAGGCGTGATATGTATTGGAGGGAACGGCAGGAGATTAAGAGATTCGGCATGTAGAGGAACCAAACCTGAAACTGAAAGGGACTGTGGTGGGGACTGCTCTCCCTCTTGGTACTTGAGTGACTGGAGCGAGGTTTGTCTATATTCTTTCGTCATTTTCGGTCATTAGTAATAGGTGCGTTTACTCATTTTTATATGTTTTGAACATTGCTTCGAAATTATTATTTTTTTTTTCAAATAATCGAATTACGACTTTATCTTGCTTAAATACACATTATATGATATAAAATAAAAATTATTTATATATTAATAATAATAACACCTTCATGATACTAATCAGAAACCTTTCCTAAAGAAATGTGTTTGGAACGAATTTCCTTTTGGGACGATGCGGAGGGGTGCCCTAACCGGGAAAAAACATCCGTAACGTAAGATTTTTCTGAGTAATGCACACAGTGTACGACTTAACTTTGTAATAACGTACAAAAAATAACATTTTTTTTATCATTTATTGACCACGATCTCAGAGCGTTCGTTTGCGCAATACACTAACTCTTATGCAAACAACCGTGAATGAAGTGTACCACAATAAGTTCGCACGTTACCGAATGACCGTGGGTTGTTGCGAAACCTCCAGTTTTACTTTCTTTATACCTCGAATAGAACCTTAAATGAATATTTTTATAGTAAGGAAATTCGTTCCTATCCGGTGTCCCACGACGTCCCACGCCATTTTTTTAGATTCTTTAATGTTATTAAATTGGTTAATAATTTAGATGCATTCTCTCATAGTGCAAAGGTCCCTGTGAAGCTGGAGTCCAGTCCCGAACTGTCTGGTGTGCCCGTGGCGGAATCGAAGGAGCAAACGGTGCCGCTCGAGACGGAGAATGTCCAGGAGTGAGGCCTCCAGCAAAGAAAATGTGTGTACCAGCACGATGTACCAGCAAACCAGTTATCAATCCAAACGTTATCAGTCCTCCAGCAGGTTGGTAGAGTATAATCCAATCCAATATTCCAACAATTCTTTGATGCATGTTACAATTAATTCTTTACACATAAAGTAATCTGAGAAAGTGAAGTGAAATCTAAAGAACCGGCAACAAGGGTTAAGGGCTAAAAAAAAAAAAAAAAAAAAAAAAAAAAAAAAAAAAAAAAAAAAAAAAAAAAAAAAAAAAAAGGGTTAAGGGCTTCATTTTAATCATTCTGTTTTTTATTTATTTCATGATCTTTCACTTCACGATTTTGTATCACATTTATATTGAAAAATAAGTATTTCGTGGTCACGAGTTTTGTCAAGTACAACAAACATTATTGTGCTAGAATTATATATTCCTCGTTTTTTTTTTTTTTTTTTTTTTTCGGGTAGAGGGCCGAACCTCCTATCAGTCGGATCCTGCGATACCGATGCTCTCGCGATGCGACGCCATGTGGCACGATGTTTATATAGAATTATATATAAATGCACCTAACTGTAAAATCTTTGATTTTCCAATTATTTTCAATTCATTTTCTGTAAGTAATTAATACATATAATGACATAATATACTATTTACCTTTTTTAGTTTCAGATCCTCAGCAGCGCGTCACGAGACATCAAATCAATACCCCTCCACATATCAGGGATAGGTCATATGCTGACGGTAAGTTGTTTTATAAAAATCGTCCAGCGCTTTTTAATTTCCATTACGCTTTTTTTTCTTAGCATTTTTTTCTGCAACTATTTTATTTGTTTCACTATTCCGTATCCCCTCAATTGATTTTGTTATATTGTTTTCGTACAGGAGCATGTGTAGACAAATTGAATACATGTGCATTAGCGGTACAGGCACGTCTGTGTCACTACCCTTACTACGCAGACAATTGTTGCGACTCTTGCCATGGACGGTAGAAAGGTCATGCGGTAAGTTGCCAATAAATTCCCAGTTTTTTTTTTCTATACATAAGCAGGTAAGTTTATAGCCTCTCAGTTTTCTTGCATAATGGTTTTCATTATTTGTATGTATAATGCTTTCTTTAGTTTTAGCGATTAAGCCGTAACAGTATTTTTTTAATTAAAAGCTATTTCGGTTTAAAAACTGAAAAACTAAAAACAAATTAACTTCGTCCCAAGCTAATCTCGAGGGGTCACTGAAACTCACACACAACTCGGTACAGTACGGAGATGAGCATGTACGAATATAAATATAAATATAAATATTTACTAACAATCACGCCACGTTAACTGATCCCGTGCTAAGTTCGTAAAGAACTTGTGTTACAAGTACCAGATAACGGAAAAAAATATAATATTTTTATTATACACATACATATAATTAATATACACCCATAACCCTGGAAAGACATTTATATTTATCATACAAATATCTTCCCTTGGCGGGATTCGAACCCGCGACCCCCTTGTGTAGTGACCATGTCACTTACCACTACACCAGACGGCCGTTAAATGTATCGAGAAACTGACAATTAAGCGACCCTATTGAAATTTTTCACATTCCAAAACTGTAATATTCTCAGTCATGTGAATAAGGCAGTATCAAGTCAATAATAACAATAAGTCACCTCTAAATGGGCTCTAAGCTCATCTGTCCAAACAAGTGCTATAATTAATAGAATAACATTATCTTATCGTTTATCATTAACATTATCGTTAACCTATTCTATCTAATATTTTCTTTCAAACGATTAATTATTCGAATTATTTCGTTTATCTCAGAATTGGCTGTTTGGAATCTTGTTTTGTATTTAGATAAGCTTACGTTTTTAATCATATCTGTATTAATAGTAAGGTAATATTGTTTCTTATTCGTTGAAGTACCAGTATACTACTATTATTTTGAACTAGCGGACCCGCCATACTTCGTAGTGCCTCAATCGACTAACCAAAGACCTAAACTTTTGTATAAAATAAACTTAAAACAAACAAAAGGAATCCGTCCAACGGGGGATACATCAAAGGAAAAACAAAATTGTTATTTTTATTTAATTCCGAGCATTTTCATATTTATCTACCTTTTAAACCTTCTCTGGATTTCCACAAATCATTCAAGACCAAAATTAATCAAATCGGTCCAGCCGTTCTCGAGTTTTAGCGAGACTAACAAACAGCAATTCATTTTTATATATATAGATATTTAAAGTAGTCGTGGTCTAAAGGATAAGACGTCCGGTGCATTCGTATCTAGTGATGCACCGGTGTTCGAATCCCGCAGGCGGGTACCAATTTTTCTAATAAAATACGTACTTGACAAATACTCTCGATAAACTTCCACTGTGAAGGAATAACATCGTGTAATAAAAATCAAATCCGCAAAATTGTAATTTGCGTAATGAATGTAAAACCTCTTGTGAGTCCGCCCGAGTAGGCAACATCGCCCTGCCTATTTCTACCGTGAAGCAGTAATGCGTTTCGGTTTGAAGGGTGGGGCAGCCGTTGTAACTATACTGAGACCTTAGAACTTACATATCAAAGTGGGGGTGCATTTACGTTGTAGATGTCTATGGGCTCCAGTTACCACGTAACACCAGATGGGCTGTGAGCTCGTCCACACATCTAAGCAATAAAAAAACTATTTTTTATTCAGACATAGTTTACTTAACGAAAAAGTACATTGTAAGTCCTGAGTCGGCAGGCAAAAATAGGCACGGTAGTAGCATAATAGAACATTCGTGGGATGAATATTTGTGAAGACATTTAATACCTATGTTTTATTATTTAACATAACATAATTTATATTTATAACATGAATACAAATATATGTGTCTCCATACTACAAAATATCGTAATTTGGGGCCAGATGAACGAGTGTGATTTGTCTACGAATTTTTTATTATTTAATTACCTATATAATATATGTAAAATAATTTTATGATTCATGTTTCGTTAATATTGCAATATAAAAAAAAGCAATAACTACGAATGCACATTATAATCTGCTGATGATGACGTAAATAGAACTGGCGGGAACCCAAGTATCATCAGTAACATTATTTTACGATTAACTGAGATGAACAAAAAAAATATTGTTATCAGATTTTCATAAATATAAATACAATATCTATCTATATCGATCTATCTATCTATATCTATATATATAAAAATGAATTGCTGTTCGTTAGTCTCGCTAAAACTCGAGAACGGCTGGACCGATTTGGCTAATTTTGATCTTGAATGAGTAGTGGAAGTCCAGATAAGGTTTAAAAGGTAAATAAATATGAAAATGCTCGGAATTAAATAAAAATAACAATTTTGTTTTTTCTTTGATGTGTCCCCTGTCGCACGGATTCCTTTTGTTTCTTTTAAGTTTATTTTATACAAAATTGATTGAGGCACTACGAAGTCTGCCGGGTCAACTATTACTAATAAATATTACTTATAAAATAATTTTAAAGTTCAAGGCTTCTTGTGTGAAAAGTGCTATTAACGTTATTTTAGTAATATTTTCAACGAAGCCTCTAAAACCTAATCACCCGAATAATGAAAGACCGCAAGCGAAAGCTATTAAATACGGGTCGATACATTTTATGCTTCGATAATATTTAATTTAATTGAATATGGACATCTCGAAATGTGACATGTTTTCTTTTAATGAATTGCACGTTTTGACGAGCGCAATTACCAGTGCTATTCATGTACTGGTTTACTGTGTCGTTTACTTCTTGTGCCTATTTCTGCCGTGAAGCAGTATTGCGTTTCGGCTTGAAAGGTAGGGCAACCGTCGTACTGTTACAACTGAGAGCTCAGAAGTCTTGTCTCAAAGTGGGTGGCGGCATTTACGTTATAGCGGGACGTGAGCTCCGCCATCTAAGCAATAAGTAAGAAAAAATATGCGCTAAGCCGGACAAGAACAAATATAGACCCAAATATGGAATACCACATTGTGGGCCCGCACGAGTAGGTACCACGCCGTCTATTGCCGCCTAGGTCGTCATGTACACCTAAAGCACACTGACCTCATGTCTCAAAGTGTTTGGCGGAATACATATTTATTCTGTTTCATCTCTCTAGTCCACCATATATGAAAAAAACAAAAAGGATCCCAATTTTAATCAACATTTCTTTTCTTTTTACAGGAAAACTCGTGAGAACTGCTAAAGGCGCTATGATACGTATTTCGATACAAAACGGACGCATAGTGAGACGTAACATAAATACATAATTATGTAAAAGCGATACAATTACATAAATTTATAATTCTTACAAACACTGCATGTAGCTTCAGCACGAAATAAATAACATTGACACGTAACACAGTCCCAATGTATACGCGTTTATCAGACAATTGTGTACGTGTTTATTTGCCAAAATAACTCATATGTGTGATCACAATCCTTCGATTTATAAAGAAGATTTCATACTATTTAAAAAATTGCTAATATGTTCAGGAACGTATCGACTTCAATGCGTGTATTTTTATATAAATTCTTGTCTTTTAAGTATTAGATGTAGTACCGTGATCTCCGGTTTAGTTGTGTTTGGAGCTGATCTGTGGAATGTAGAATAGTCGGAACTTACCTGAAGTTGACAAAAAAAAAACAATGTTTTCATGATTATGACAACTTATGTTTAGATTAACAACATTCTAACTACATTGTATGTTGTAATCGTTCGTAATTAAAAATTAGGCTACGCATTTAGTTCTAGAACAAAATAGTATTTTATTGAATGTATGAGAAATTATAATATTCTTTTTTCGAGTTTTCTATTTTAGTTTTAGTAATATTAGATATTTCCTTCGTAATTTATTTTGGCGATCCCAACACGGATCCTTTCTGTATTATTAACTTTTGAAATATGTAAATAGTTATTTTTTTTTCATGTATAGTGCATTTACGTACCGGCTGTTTAATATTTAAATGAGTATTTAAGTGAAATATCATCACAATATGTAACTTATTAATATCGGTTTGGGTAATCAAACCCTTTTAAATTATCATTAAAGAAACATTACTAATTATGCATATAACAATGTACAAAAATAAAATAAAAGCTTTAAACACTATAGTTTGCGTTTATTTAATCCAGAACCTCGTCTTTGCGTTCCTATTATGATTTAATAGATCCCTATTTCGATATCTGAGTTACGAAATCTTAACATTAAATGTATAAATTTGTATTCACTTTAAAAAGTCGATTGATTTTCAGTAGTGTATTTTAATCTCATCTCTTGGTTTAATATTTAAAGAGCTCATAAGCTAAAAAAAAACTCGTTTGCATAGCGTAGAACAAAGATTTTTTTATTAGAGAAATGGACTCTTTTTGATGCGGCAATGAATCTTATTATAGACCTAGAGTACCCTGTGGGTGTTACCTCTATGTATTATACAAAGCGTAAATCGCGAATGAGCCTGCCAACATGGGTAGGGTACATGGGTACCATCGCTCTGTCTATTTTTGTCGCGAAGTAGTCATCCGTTTTGATTTCACACCCTGGTAACCATTGAATGCCAGACGGGCTGTGAATTCGTGCACACAAAATAATATACACTTGGGCAAAAAGAATATTGCCTTCTGTACCGGCCGCATGACAATTTTAGTCAGAGAATACTGTAGCATATATGAAATATGTGAAGGTAATAATTTTATGGACCAGTAATGTCATTAATGATTGCACTATTTAGACCTATAAAAAGTAGTTTGTAAGGCAAAACTACGTTAGCTTAAAATAATAACATTTTACAATTTTAAAATCTGTTATTATCCAGTAAATAGAGCAGAGAAACTGTTAAATTTGTTAGAAATTCGTTAAGAACGACTAATATTTAAAAAATAATAGTCATAATTTTAAAACAAGTCTAGATTACTGAGCTAACATTCTATTATACTAACATTCTGAAGAGCTCTTTGTTCTAAACGTACTTACTATCTTCACGAGTGTTTATGAAATCCAGGGAATACCTTATTTATCTATTCCGTGATGAAATCTATATAAATAAACACATTATAATCGCACGTCCAATCAACTATTATATTAGTGGATCGAAATGTCTAAATCTGTTACAGGTAGTCTTCAACCTAAACGTGTAAACGGGAAAATTAATTCAAACGAAGATACTTTTTATAAAACTTTCAGAATAACCGATAATGCTATATATAATCAATGTTTTGATTTGTTTTTCTGTTTTCGTCTGTATTCTGTTCGCGTGTAATACACATTCAATTGATAATTATTATAAAGTATTATCAGTTACATATTATTCTTTTTGTAATCGGGTTAAGTTGTTTACAGTTGTAGTAATATTATACAAATGTCCGCATCAAAATCTTTTTTTTTGCATAAATGTACTTCCTATTCGAATAACAATATAAAAAACTACAAATCTTGCGAGTCCGTACGCGTAGGTACCACCACCCTGCCTACGTCTGCCGTGAAGCAGTAATGCGTTTCGGTTTGAAGGGTTAGTAGCTGTAGTAGTAGTAGTAGCAGCTGTAGTTAAAGTGAGACCTTACAACTTATGTCTCAAGGTGGGTAGCGGCATTTACGCTGTAGATATCTGATGATGGGCTCCGGTGACCACTTAACATCATGTGGGCCGTGAGCTCATCCACACAACTAAGCAATAAAAATAAAACATTTTAAGGATGGCTGTGCATTTGTGAATTATTAAACAAAAACTATTGAATTCGAGTACCAATTTGTCATGTATCAAGGAACGCTGGTTTATATATTTGCAACGACAGCAGAAAATTAAAATTCACTGGATAATGCAATGTTTGGGTCTTGTCTGTGTGCTATCTGGAAGTGCTTTGATTATTAATGAAAAAACTATTCATTTCAATGTCTGCATGGAGCATTAGATAAAATTTGAACAGTACAAAGATGTTCATTGTAACCGGTATAATTTTTTTATTGCTTAGGTGGGTGGACGACCTCACAGCCGGTGTTACTGGAGCCCATAGACATCGACAACGTAAATGCGCCACCCATCTTGAGATATAAGTTCTAAGGTCTCAGTATGGTTACAACGGCTGCCCCACCCTTCAAACCGAAACGCATTACTGCTTTACGGCAGAAATAGGCAGGGTGGTGTTACCTACCCGTGCGGACTCACAAGAAGTCCTACCAGCAATATTTACGCAAATTATAATTTTGCGGATTTGATTTTATTACACGTAGATAATCAAAACGCGAATGTGACAAGAAGAGTGTATGGAAAATATGAAAAATTTTGAATGACTATTGAAATTTTTTACATCGCTAAATGTAGAGATACGGGCAATGTCTTACTTAAATTCTAAAGCAATTATGTTTTGCTTGGAAAGATACGTGGAACAAATCCGCTGTTATACAAGCAGTATATAGCGGGTATTTCATGATTGGTTCAAACTAAATTGTGTTTACTATAAAATTGCAAGAAGAGTCCTCGGGTTTGTACCCGCGGTGTGCGACGATTGGGCAAAAAAGACCATAGACCAAACGATTCTTTCTTTTCTTCCTATTCAGGCCTTTCTAATTATTCAGGCTTTCAAAGTGTTATTTGTTGTACGCTTGTTTACGCTATTTTTGCAATCGAACACAGATAAAACTAATTTGATCGTAGGATTTACCGCCTTTATATTTTCCATTTCTTTTATTTGAGTTTGTTACGTATGTATATATTATGTAACACAGAATGAGTTTTAAACGTGAAAACGAAATAAAACTTCTCAACAATGCATAAATTTTCATAAATACTGAACATAAATTATTATTATGAATCGGGTCAAGTTAAATTTACTCAAAAACGCGTACTTTATTTTACGATGAAATTTTGTCTGAAGCATTTATATAATCGCGTGTACAATTTTATTTTCAGGTTTATGTGCGCTAATTGCCAGTTTAATAGGCTTATTAAACGGGATATTAGCGTTTTACGCATACAAGCTAAGATGGATCTTATGCATTTCCTGGATAAAGTATATATACATTAGACTAGCGGTGTGTGTCCATTACTGTTGTCTACGGCTAGTCTTTGTGCTGCCTTTGACGGGAGATCGTTTAGAAAATGGACGGAAAACAACATTGTCACTGTGCTTTTAATTGTATTGTCTTAATGCCGTTTATGTTTCTTTGAACTTCTGGTTTGTCACTGCGAATAAAATAAATTGTTCATCCTAAAAAAATATGCCTTTGTTTAATTATTTTTGAATATGAAATACTGAACACAGATTTTTCCGGTCACCGTACTCACCGAACCCGTCGCTTGCGACAAAGGACTCGACGAGTAAATTAACCCATAGACACAGCCCACTGAGTTTCTCGCCGGATCTTCTCAGTGGGTCGCGTTTCTGATTCGGTGGTAGATTCTACGAAGCACTGCTCTTGCTAGGGCCAGTGTTAGCAACACTCCCGATTTGAGCCCCGTGAGCTCACCTACACGTCAAGGCGAAGCTGAAATAGCCTCTCAAGGCTGTCAGCATAGGTGGGAAGAAAAAAACCGTTTTTTATTTATTGAATTGAGCTTAAGCAAGACTACCGTGTGTTAACTAATTATCAGAACCAAGGGAAGCTACAATGTGAATGTCGCCACACATCTCGAGATCTCAAATTCTAAGTTCCAGTCTTCCCAACGGCACATAAAATAGACTAGAATAGTTAGTGTTGTAAAAATTTAAGTAACTACTAGTGCAGAGTACCTAAATGATAATGAATGATTAACTGTGCTAAGATTGTTGTTGTTGATAAAGCAATACAATACTAAAATAGTGTTTGTTTTCAATCTTTATCTGCGATAACTATGTTTGCGGTTACAATTATTATAATAATTAATGGGAAGTAATTTTGAATGGCACTTTAATAAATTGTCACGATAACAAAGTCAACGAACGATAAAGTAATATATGGACATCACACAATTAATATACCAAAAGTAACATATCACGTAAATACTTCCAAAGGGAACTTACTAGTCACGCCTATCTGTTATCACAAAATCGAAAGATAACACAAATCAGATACGAGTTTTTGGATCGATAAATCAATTCACTAGTGGTTTTTAACATTTTCACTTGTCTCGCGTGAGAAAATATTTCAGTAACGAATATGATGCCGCCCCCACCGCCTCCTCCGCTGCCGGCAGATCCAGTTCATATCGAAGCCAATATCCAACAAACGGCTCAAAGACAGGAAATCAATGTAGCCATGATCGTACTAAATGTCGTGAATACTGTGACACACGTCCTGATAGGCGCGGTGGCGCTCAGCGCATTCATATTCGCCAATGTCTTCCACGGCACGAACAATCTAAAGCAGCACATTTATTTGTGCGTTACAGGGGTGAGTAGTTTGTTTAACTCGTTAAACTTTAACACTAGCATCCGTTTCTTGATTAAAAACAAAAAATGCAACAAAATTGACCTAGTTACGGCTACACAATATGTAGGTCAGCAGAGGAGATGTTTTTCATTTGAATTTCATAATTTTTATGCAGACGTTCATAAGAAAACCTTGCAAGAGATATTCGTGAAAATTAAATTATAAACATTCCCGACTATTTTGTTTGTATGAAAGAAATAATATCGTTTTCTTTTATAAATTTCAGTACGTGATCTTAATGTCTCAAGCGATATTGACCTTCAGTCCGAACAATGGTTGGACTAATTCTTTAAAGTATCCGAATAAGAAAATGGTGCACTGGGTGATGCAAGTTTCTGGGTCTATACTTGCAATTGCTGGCAGTATCATAAGATTTACCAACTTGAATGAACATATGCAGACTGCTCACGGTATTCTAGGTGAGTCTATTATAATAGGTTGGGGAAAAGTCTCTTCGCATTTTTTGAGAAAACTCACATTTTTTAATAAAGTTTATTTACATTTAACTAAAGTATGTAGGTACCATTTTGTTCGATAGCTTTTTGGTATCTTGTAGGTAGAGACATGATCCCATTGCTATAGAAATTTTAGGGCTTCTGATCAAAATACCGCGACAATTGGTTTTGGCAGTCCTCTCGTGATGTCAACCTGACACATTCCTAAAGAATTCTGAAGAGATCGAAACAGGTGGAAATCTGAAGGTGCAAGGTCAGGACTTTACAGCGGATGCATTACCACCTCCCAGCCAAGCTCTCTTAATTTTTGCTGAGTGGCTAAAGATGTGTGAGGTCTAGCGTTATTATGATGGAAAACCACACCCCTTCTGTTGATTAATTCCGGCTGCTTTCTCTCAACTTCTTGCTTTAATCTCATCAGTTGTTCGCAGTAGAGTTCAGAATCGATGGTCCTGTCTGGTGGTAACAGTTCATAATGAATAATGCCCTTCCAATCTCACCACACACACAGCATCATCTTGTTGCGAGCTAACCCGGGCTTCGCCACAGTGCGATGCTCGACTTCTGCGAGTCCACCATCTCGCAGAAGGAGGTGGCGGAACGGAAGAGGGAGAGCTCTTCTTCCCTCTCGGCACCGTGCCGCCGCCGCCGAGCCGGGGGCCGGAGGAGGGCGCTTGTCCAGCTCCGGCCCCTATGAGGAGGCAGTCTCCTCCCGGTGATGGTCACGGGGCGACCTAAGGGGGTTGAGGCTGCGCTGCACCCTACCGTCACTCTAGCGCGCTGACACCAAGAGGACGGGACGGCGCGTCAGCAGCTGCGGACTGCAATGCGGTCCGAATTTTCGTTGACCGCGGGAACCCCCTACTCTGACCGGGTTCTGACCCCGGACGGAGATCGGACGTCGGGTGTAAGAGTGCAGGGGAGTCGTTTAGTGGGTGGGCCCTAAAATCCTTGGGCCCGCGGTCTGCTCTCAACACCTGCAGATCGTTGAGTCTCACATACCCCGCGCGCCCCCTAGGCGCGGGGACCTCGTGGGAGGTTCGGCATCCGGCCCGGAAAAAAAAAGGGTTTCACCACAGTCTGTGAAGCCTGACCGGCCTTTGACCACGACCTTTTTCGCATGTTTTTGTCGTACGCGATCTACTTTTCATCACCAGTTATCAGCTTCTCCAAAAATGGTTCGGTTTCATTACGTCGTCATAAAGAATCACAAATGAGTACACGGTTCATTAGGTTTCTTTTAGTGAGCTCGTGAGGTACCCAAATATCGAGCTATTTTGTGTACCCAGTTTTTTTCAAATGCGCCAAAACTATTTTGTGGTCAATTCCCAGCTCTTCAGCTACGTCGTAACTACCTCCACCTTTTCAAAAATGGCATACATTTTATCCAGAGAGACCAGAGCGACGCGCATCTTTGACATCAAAATTTCCGGATTGAAAACGCTTAAACCAAATTTGTGCTACTCTCACAGACACAGCACTAGGTACATAAACACCGCAAATTTTTTTCGCGGTTTTCGTTGCATTTTACCTTTTTTGTAGTAAAATTTTAAAATGTATCGAATTTCTTCATTTGATCCACTCATCTTGATAGTACGAAAAATAAATAAAAATCACACATTTTCTTAATTTGAATTTGGAATCATCTTCTTTAAAATTTAAACTTTTAACCAAAACCAAAACTAGTCAGATACAAATACTATAGCCAAAGAGATTTTATTACAAGTTTATACATTATAATGCGAAAATACTTTTTCCCCAACCTAAATAGGTTGACTAAATAGTCAGTGCCACTAACATAGAATCTAAAGACTACTAAATATTTTAGTGTTTTCTTCGGCTCTCGCGAGTCGTAGACATAGTTATATTTACTTTTACGGCTTAATCTTGTGTTTCTTATTGTCAATACATTATTTCCGACTCCGCCTAGACTAGATGTCCGTGACTACTAAACCTGTCAAGTACTTGAAAAGTCCAAAATAAAAGAATGACACTAAAAAACTAATGATTAACTTAACGATTTTAAATTTGAATAATATGTCTATATTTTTTATTGCGAAGATGGGTGGATGAGCTCACGACCCTCCTGGTGTTAAGTGGTTACCGAAGCCGATAGGCATCAATGCCATGTCTATCGGCTGTCAATCAATCCATGTCTGTCTACGTCCATGCCGCCGCCCATCTTGAGACACGACTTCTAAGTCTCAGTTTCTACAGTATATCGGATGCCCCAAGCTTCAGACCGAAACGTATTAATGATTCACGGAGAAATAACTAAATATAATAATATACTATATAATATATTAATACGTGAAGCAAAAACTCTTTATCCCTTTTTACGAAATTTTCGCGGTCGGAAGAGTATGAAATTTTCCACACTTATAGAGAATATAGAGAAGTGCACAATGCTAATATTTTTTTAAAATAATGCATAAAAGATACATTAAATCAATAAAGAAAACATTACACACACTACATACCATGTATTTGACGCACACAGGCATGCATACTATTTATTGTCAAACTTTTGTACTTGACGTCTGTTGTCAAATTGAGAATAGATTAAATATTGATTGTCTTTGTTAATATCTTTTATACTGTATTCTTGGCGAAACTTGTGATTATAGAAGTATAAAATACAATCATAATAGTGTACAAATTTACAATTCTAATTAATTATAGTTGAATTTCGACTACTGCGGGAGCACTAGTACTATATAATACGTCATTTTTTGCATCGACATCACAATCTTTAATTTTCTCTACATTATCGGACATTGATTTGTTTTGTAAAATTTATTTGAGCAGATAAGCAACGATGATTAAAATGCCGTATCATTAGTGTACAATGTCAGTAGGTACAAGACTGATTTGTTTTTAATTGTCGACAGATAGCCATAATATTGACATAACCGTCTTTAGAACGCCACATTAATACAACCTCCTTATTTTCCAGGTCTCGTCGCCTTAATATTGACTGTGATAAGTCTCATTGGAGGAGTAGTGAACTTGATATTCCCTAAACAAACGTCCGCATTAATATTGAGAAGTCTTCACGCTTGTTTTGGCTTGTTGACCGTGTCAGTAGCTTTCATTTGTTTATGTCTCGGTTTTGATACGATCTACAGGATAGTTATGGGTGACGTGAATGCAAATCTGTCTATCGCATTTACAGTAATGGCGTTGATCGGTGTTCTATCGTCTGCGGTATCAAATTTAACTAGGAGGTATATGAAACGTTAGCTTAGTGATGGTCCTTACAACATTGACTCGTGGTATAATATTCAAGAACCACGTATTATCTGCAGTTAGAATGTATATGAATAAACAAATATTACACATATACATTCATTGAAATCGCTGTTTGTATAACTCTTCAAAGATACCTGCAATAGATAACGCACTCAATTTTGTTACAATTTCAAACATTGTATTTGACCTGCTGATTTTACTCAAATAACACCAAGACTACACGAATATTAGTAAGAATTAGGAACGTTAAATAAATGTTTGAATTACAAGACGTGAAACGGCAATTATCTGTATCATTTTACATAGATACAAATTTCATTGACGTCACTATTGACTATTGCACCACTGCATTTGTACTTTTTTCAGTTTTATCTAAACTTGAAACTAAGATACATTGAAATAAATGTTTTAAAAGTCTATTTATTGTTCTTTGTATAATAAAAAACATTTTAAAACAAATATTCTTTTATTTGAATATAGAGCGTTGTGTGGACAAAAATTATTTATTTAGAAACTACTTTAAGTTAATGCTCATTTAATATATCTTTGTACAATACAGACAGCAGCTTGGCTCTGCCCCTGGCATTGCTGACGTCCATGAGCGACGGTGACCACTTACCATCAGGTTGGCTGTATGCTCGTCTGCCTACAAAGGCAATAAAAAAAAAGAAGTATAATACATTTATTGTACAACATAGCAAAACAAAAAAAAATTCAAATTGAAATGTGATAGTTTTTATCATTTTTACAAAAGCGATACTTACTGATTGATTTATTACTTATTGTTTCGTTTATTGGCTTTTTAAATAGCATTTGTGTATATCTGGGTACGTTATTCTGATGAAAAAAAAATCGTAGTTTTAAAAGATTCTTTATTTGTTTTTATTATCCAATCTTACATTAAATATCACACCAATAAGCAAATTACATTAACTAATTCTAGTTTTTTTTTTTTCTATAATTAAGAATACTGTAATATCTGAAAGTCATAATAAATCTGAATATAATCACATTTATATAAGATATCAGGATTTCGAAAATAATACACATACTAATACTAAATTTATTTTATTAAAATAACGGATAAAAATCACGGTCGAGTCAATTTATATTTTCAATTAAATTTTCTACACTACAAAATATTTATGAAACATATTCAATCGCGTTATATTCTAAAAATGATTATGAAACTACTGATGAATGACGAATACCTTATTATGACAGGTAATGCTATGAAGTGCAGGAACAGTACGACGCTGCCCGCTTTTATTGTGAAATTCATTCATAAAGTTGTGATACCGTTCATTTACTTCATCGTAGAATGAACAGTACTTTCACAGTCCTTTGCAGGAATTACAGCAGTTCTGTACGTAGAAGTTATAATGACAAAGGCGAGCTTGAACCGCCAGGAAACAGTTGTTCAGTTTATCTTCGCATTCTAGAACAAAACAAAAAAAAACGGAATATCAACTGATCAACCGAAATAAAGTCCTTTAATCAAGCCTATGTGTTGTTATTTTAGAGATTCAGGGTAGGTTTTCGGAAGTTGTTTCAACAAACCGCTATTATAATATAATATATAAATATTGGTTTCACTAAAAGTAGATAAAAAAGAGTCTTTGAAGATATAAATTTCAGATGACTACCAAACTTTACATACAAATCCAATACATGATAGCCAATTTAATGGAAGATTTGTAACGTAACGTTAAGTAAATTATAATAACAAAATAAAATTAGCTAGTATCTGAATGTCCTCGGAGCCAATTATTTATGCATCATTAAAGGTAACTCAAAAACTATTGGTCTGAGAATAACAAAAACGATATGGGACCACACAAGAATTATGAAAATCTGTTCACCTAGATTTTTTAGGAACCACAGATAATAAGTACTATTGAATTTACAGTCGCTCCCTGTCTTTTAAGACTTAAAAATGCATTTGAATATGATCTCAGAGGATATCAATAGTATCTCACGTGAATATTGACAATCGTGATAATAAGCCACGATATAGTTCCATTTCCACTGTAAAATAGCCAAACGTTCCTGTTTGTACAGTTGGAGTGGCATTATGTCAGAACAATTCAGAACTGGTCCTCACATCGTAGTATGTCTCGAGGGTTTCACGTTGTGGTGTGGACCTGAGTCTGCTTAAATATACGCTTAATATCTGGCAAGCCAACCCCCGCAGAAATAGAGGCGATAGGCGAGATCACCAAAGAAATAGAGGTATTGGATTGTGAGTTAAAACAAAACCTACCTCTAGGTCCGGTTTCTCTAATAATGGGAGGCCGATTACTCGAAGTAACGACTTTTTGAGATTCTGAAAGATGTGTTAAAACTATAAATATTTATGAATATATTAATGTAAAAGCTGCATATTTCACTGTCATTCTAGTAATCAGATTGTTATGTGGTGACTCTTATAATCAATACTCTGATAATAGATATAAGTCCGAATTTGAGTTTGCTTCTTACTCTACCGATCGCACCGGTATTGTACGAATAGTAGAAGTATACAGAAACGCACATAGCCACCTTTTTATATAAATGTGGGAATGATGTTTTATTGAACGCATGATATGATGGATGCAAGTTGATGTTTGTGAACGCAGCGGTATGTCGAGAATGGAAGGGGATGACGTGTGAGATGACAGAATGACAGATGGATGAACGACGACGAACGAAGCACGAGCACGACGGAACGATTAAAATTTATATTAATAATATTGAAATAAAACGTGGAAGTAGTAAACGCGAAACTTTTATTTATTGTCTGAAGCCTGCATCCCACATAAATATATAAAAGGTACCTTTATATGCCCCTTGATTCCCGAAGGTTTTTTGTGCAAAGCTGCTTGGAAAAAGTAAGTAGCATATAAAATGAAAGTAGAATTATCATTTATTCTGAATTCATTACTCGACTTTAAAGGTATGTGTTTATATTAAGATTTTTTTACCTAATTATTAGTTGTAAAGGTTATTCTGTAACACAACAATCTATGGGCTATTTTTAGAAAAATAAATATTCTTCAAAAAGAATCAGACTTTGATTCTTCCCAATGGACCATTTATTTTCTTGGGAATTATCTAGAAAACTGAAAAATTGCTAAATGCTATTATGAAAGAAAACAACATGATTACATGCTATGGTATGTACTAACCGATAGTCAAATCTGGCGGTAGAGTAGAAATGGTAGGACAGCGCATTTCGCAAGATTTCTGCTCATGAGGTCTCGCAGTCTTGCAATCACCTTCACCGCCCGTGGCGTTGGTTTCAGGGTGAGCACAGATTACTGATCGCGTTTGTAAACCTACTTCAGATGTACAGTTCCCTGTGCACTGCAAAATTAATATGATTTCACCATCATCATCATTATTCATCATCATTATCGTGCCCTTCTTCCAGTCACCTGGGGTCGGCGCAACATGTTTTCTCCTTCCATACTCTTCTATCATATACCATTTGTTCGCTCACTCCCTTCTTACCCATATCGTCTTTCACGCAATCCATCCATTTCTTCTTAGGTCTACCTCTTCCTCTATATCCTTCCACATTCATAGTTAACATTCTCTTACCAACCTCATTTTCATTTCGTCTCATCACAGGTCCATACCATTCCAAACGTGCACTTCTCAGCTTCTCTGTCACATCATGATTTCACCATCATTTATTAAATATACTTTGACAGACCAAGGGCGGATCCGGCTTTGGCGCCAGGAGGGGGTCACATAGTCGTGGGCAAATTAAGAACTTATAATTTAATTTTGATAACAATAGATAATATATAAATCATGATGTTCTTCAATTAGTCCAAGTTAGTTTGAACTAACTTGTCCTTGACTTGAGTCCTGGAACTAGCTCAGGGGGGGTCATCCCCCATGACCCCCCCCCCGGATCCGCCGTTGTGACAGACGGAGCAGCTGACACAGTTACATCTTTATGAATAAGTTGAATTAAAAAAAACGATTTTCTAACGATGTGAAAAGCAAACAATGTCAACATTCTACCTCGTAACAAGCTGAATTTAATTGGATATTTAAAAAAATCAATTTCTACGCTGTACTTCTAATCAAATGAGCTATAAAAATATTACGTCCCAAATACTCCTAAAGAACTTATGTGGATCTTGTCCAACATCCTTGAAGGAGTCCAAGCAGTAGACGGTTAGATGTAGGTATAGGCTGATTAGAATATTATTTCCATACCATTCCTACAATTGAATATCTTGTACCCGTTTAGTAGCATCAATTAGACCTGAAGTAATCAACTAAGATATTCAACACTGAGAGCTGGAAGAACGATTTTAGCCTTGCTATAGGTAGCCTTGTCAATGAAATCCGAGAACTTCATTGGTTTCAGTGTCGCATTATATCTAACAAGCTTTACAGAGTAATTATACACTCTATCACGAAACGTCGCGTTCAATTAGTTAATAGCGTTTATATAGCGCTATTAAACTAGCACAGGTGTCATTTTACATTTTATTTTATTGAGAACACGATGGCATGAGCTATAATTTACGAGTTCATATTTTTTTATAGACAAACTACTTTTCTCTCTAAGAAAGACTTGCAAGGAAGTCCACTTTAAAGAGTTTGATTTCAACTTCCAAAGACACTCAGATTTATTAATTACTGAAAGAAGATATTTTAACAATAACATTCACAGATGTTTAATAAATTGTGCTAGTTGATTTTTAAAGTAAAACCGTTAACGACTTTCATGTTACTACAAATTTATTTATTGCACTTTAAAATACATTTGAGTTATGGCCAGACAATCTAATATGAGAAGTGAGACATAAAGTATGGGCTTCGATTTCCATTTGTATATTATATTATGAAAGTATCAGCTACGTACGAGCTGGAGTAAAACCCGAATGTAGTCTAGAGTATTTTTTTTTGTATCCATTTCAATAGTACTCACACAAGATAACGATACCAAACATATTTGATATTCTTGGACAGCATGCAAACATTCATTTTTGTTGATATATACGGCCATGTAATATACCTAATATATATTAATATGGGGTACATATTTTATGTATAAAATTAGGTATATTTGTATTCATTAGGTTATTAATTTAATATAAGTTGACAAATTGAATCTTTTACATTTATTTTCATAATTTTACAATTCGTCAACTTGCGAAACAGAAAATTTATTGGTAGAGTAAGTATGTGTTAAATAAACTACACATTTCATTTTTTGATAATTTTTCGTAAATCATGTAAATAATAAACACTTTGATGACAAGTAAATCGTCGTATTCTGTAAACAATATCCGAGGTACTCAAAGCGTCGGAAATTGTAAAATGGGTAATAACTAACCCAAGTATTTCAGACTAACCTTGCCCCAATCGCTGAAGTACCAAGTGGGAGGGCAGTCGGCGCCGCATTCCCTTACGTGATCAGGCTTAGGGTCCTTGCATGCCGAATCACGAAGATGCCTACCTGTGCCACCGATGCACAGAACACCGCGAATCTGTCGTCCTTTGCACTTTGAAGTGCAACGCGACCAGTCACCTTGGAAAGACCGAAGGACATTTAAGAAATAAACAAGGTATCGCCGCTATTAAACCAATATCCGCTATGCGATAAAAGTATAACTATTTATTTCTTATTACACAAAAAGGAGACGGAAAATCGTGGGCCAAAAATGTAATAACTTGGAATGTAGTCTAAAAAATTTGTCATATTTTTTTAAATAAGAATATAAAAAATCACCTCAATCCTCTTTCTGGGACCGGAGAAAAATTAGAAAGTTAGTTTTTGTCGGTATAACAGTGTGATCGATTTAATTAATCGATTACAGGATTATAAAAAGAAAAACATTGCACTAGGTAATTAATGCAAAGTAATTAAATGAGCGATTTATACTTGTTGTATACAAGTGCGGTATACGCCGGATTTAATTGCGATTATATACATAAATGAAGAAAAAGTCTATTATTACTTAACAAAGTAATATGATTATCGATTTCAAATCGATTAAAATCGATTGTATTTTTGATGACAGCTTTGACAGTAAGCTGACATGACGTTTGTTCATAGATTATACAATTATTTTTTGGCGCTTGTTGGTTTTTTCTGCTCTACTCGTTTTGTATCTTCGACGCATTTTGAGTGTGTATCTATCGGGCTGTTTTTATATTTTCAACGATCACTGCTTTATTATTACGGATTCCAACTCTGCCAGCCTTGTACGACAATTGCTTCTATACTGGACACCGAAGATCGCTCACACGTTTGACTTTAAATTGTTGCATTGGATACTGTTGAAATTATGGATCGCTGTGTGAATTGTGGGATAGCAATTCCATATTCCATATATCATTGATATTCATTCATAATATGACATTTAAAAGATTATCTAATGGATATAATAAACATTTACTTATGCTTAAATAAGTTATTATTCAGCTCTTTTAAAGAGATTGTAACATAACCTAACTTTTACTAAATCTTTATTAACTCGGCTCTCAGATTGAGAAAACTTTTATAATTTTCAGCAAGGTACTGATAAATCTGAATCTATTAATTCATACTAGTTTCATCACGTTACATTCGGGCCCAAAAATGTATGTAATCGTTTCAGTCTCCTTTGAGTAGTAAACTATAATAGTTACAATGTCAAACTAACAAGTCCACATGCATAGTTATACTCCTAAATCATATTTAGTTTTGAATTTGCTATTGAGACAAACAATTTACTGGTGGTAGGACTTCTTGTGAGTCCGCAGGGATACTTACCACCCCGCCTATTTCTGCCGTGAAGCAGTAATGCGTTTCGGTTTGAAGGGTGGGGCAGCCGTTGTAACTATACTGAGACCTTGAACTTATATCTCAAGATGGATGACGCATTTACAGATGTTTATGGGCTCCAGTAACCACTTAATACCAGGTGGGCTGTGAGCTCGTCCACCCATCTAAGCAACAAAAAAAAACAACATATTCAAAAAATTATGTCTTAATAATTCTAAATTTAAAAAAACATTGCTATTAAAATAAAATAAAACACACAATATTACTTCTCACCAGTAAACCATTGCCCTTCTGAAGACTCGCATGACAGGGCAGGCGAGCAGCTTCTGCTTGTTTGAGGTTCCTTTCTTGGAGCACATCCTGAAGGATCAGTACAACGCACTCCTCTTGTTTGCACGCCACCACCGACACACCACCCGATACACTACGAGAAAGAAAAATATTTTAATCCAATGAAAAAAATTTGATGATAACCTATAATTTTAATCAGAAATTACAAATTACAAAAATAAAACATTTCGAAAATCAAAAATTTAATTATAAACATGAAGATAAAAAATTAATAATTTGGCGAGTGTGTAGATACAATAGATCATTATGGTAATTGGGTGATAAGTTTTTTTTAAATCAAATAAACATAATAAAGAACTGAAGAATATAATTAAATATCAAGGAAACTTTGAATGGGTTAATAATATATTTTTGGGATTTAAGATCAGATCGAGATGGAAATGGGAAAACCTACTTTTTTCCTGCAAAGCGATTAGTATACGGCGAACTTGAAGCTAAACATTATAATTCAATGTAATGCTTCTCTCTAAGCTGAAATCAAAGCAGTTGATTTCGGAACAGATTAATTATATCTCTATCTCTTATTTAGTCAGCTTTTTTAGGCAACACAAATACCGTCACCTGTCTTATGAGCCATACTCGTGGTACATAACGAAAGAAAGAAACAAACAAACCAACAGATATTATTTAACCATTAGATTATTCACCTACATTAATCCAGTTTCAGTGTAATAAAACACACAAACAATAAAATCTCAAACATCACTGATAGCTACAATTTCGCAAGGAGACCTTAAAATAACAATATACTTATTTTCATTTTCGTCACTTTCAATAAATCATAGGTGGTTTTTGTGTAACAGTTTCGTCAATTATTACGAAATGCCATAAACGTGATGTATACCGACAAAAGCATTAATGTGACCTACCTCCGACCATTCGGTGTAAAGCCAGCCAGCTGCCGCATTAAAACTATATTCTGGGCCGATTTCGGATTCAGTAGTATTGATGGATACGGTATAGACGGGGCCTTCGCGGAATGTGTCGGTGAGTTCCTTGTTTCGAGTTCTCTTTGATTCAATACGTCTAACCGGGCCCAAACTTAGGTCATCGCAGCTTGGGATGTTACACATTTCTGTTGTGGGTGGCTTTGGAGGTGGACATTTGTGGTCACTTATCTGTGAGAATAAATCATTTATCACTGCCAGCTCTATAAGAAAAACTGTATTTCTGTTGATCTAAAAGTGGTCTCTAATGACCATTTGACTAATATGTTATTAACCTTGGTAATTCCTTTAGAGTGATCCTGTACACATCCTACTATCCTTGTCCGAGTGGCAGGTCCACATCGGGGACAAGGAGACCAGGAGGCCGCCCTCCATCTTGGTGGACAGGGCACATTACCACATCGTCGTCTCCGACCGACTGGAGGTGATCCAGTACAATGGACCGATGATACCTCTCGATCTCCAGAGCTTGTTGATTCTACACACCTATACTTTCCTAACTAGAAAAATAAAGTAAATTATTAATCTAAACATATAAATAAAATTGGAGTGTCTGTTTGTAATATTGAAATAACCGCTTTTTACTACATGCATGTGAATATATATATACGGTACATACACTAAAATAACATTTTTTACAATTTTTGTGTCTGTCTGTTTGTTCCGACTAATCTCTGGAACGGCTGGACCGATTTTGACGGGACTTTCACTGATTGTTGATGATATAAGCAGTAACTTAGACTACTTTTTTTTAGATTAGCTTCGCCCCGCGGCGTCAGCCGCGGTACGACAATAACCGCGGGTAACATCGCGTGACTCAAATATCAATAATAAAAGTTAATGTTTCCGAAGCGAAGCGAGGGCAGGCCGCTAGTTGTACAATATAGTTTGAATATGTATGCATTGAGTGTTTATTTTCATTTGACATTTATTACCTGAATGCCGCCACCACAGCTTCTTGTGCATTGGGTGAATGACAAAATTCTCCACAAGAATTTTCTGTTGCCGATTACATTTGCCTCGAGGCCAGTTTCAACACTCGTTTGTTCATTGGAAGTGCTCGGATGATCTAAATGTCTAGGTATATTCCCTGTTGCCCTGGGATAAGCATCAAAACTGTGATGTCTCCTTGTATGTTTAGTAATAATAGCTGGTACGACATCTGGTATTTCTGGCCTAGCTTCATCACCTTCATCAATCGGAGAGTCCGTAAAGTATTCATATTTAATGTTCGGTTTTGGTTGAGTATAAAGAATCTGAAAAAGAAATTGATATTTATAATGGTATACCAAAGATGACCACAATAACTTTATTACATTCGATACTTGAGTGATATCTTCTATGTTTCCTGACAGCTATGAATTATCTTTCTTTAATCATGCCTCCAGCATTACCATTTTTTTAATTGCTTAGATGGGTGGACGAGCTCACAGCCCACCCTTCAAACCGAAACGCATTACTGCTTCACGGCAGAAATAGGCACGGTGGTGGTACCCACCCGCGCGGACTCACAAAAGGTCCTACCACCAGTAATTATGCAAATAAATCTAATATCTATGAGCGACGGTAATTATTTATTAGTTAGATGATCCGTAAGCTGTTCTGTCTTCTAGAGCTAAATATACATAAATGTACTGACCATAATATCAATAGGATGATATATGGGTCCATTTGCATGCACATTGTCCAGTCCAGCGGTACGGGTATAAAGAAATCTGGCTCCAGCCGCCTCATACATTCCTGGAGCACTCACGGCAAACTCTCCATTTAATATATACGAGCTATTCGACAGCCTCAGGGCTGAAAATAAAAAATATTCATCAGACTAAACACTTTTAATATAAATGTATTCCATTTCATTTTTTTGTTTTCGTAACAAATGTATTTTGCTTATTTATTATGTAATTTGACGGCGTGTATACTCGTACACCTGTCAGTCCAAATTGATTCAGCCTAAAGCATAATAGTCAAGGTGAATACTGTATTCGTCATCGCCGAACAAAGTGGGCGTTTCTGTTGTGGTGAATCGCGAGTGATTTACAGTACTAGTAGTACACAGCTGATTGATAAGTGGCCAACCTCATATTTGTGGGCCATTTGCTTTCATCAATGGACTGTTAAACTCATTGTGTACCATTGAACTGATTACTGATAGGATGACAATATGATTATTAGTTATGGATTTGAATTTTATAGAGCGTCTTCTAAATTTTGATACTTGAACATTGAATGAAAATGCTTTTGAACTAAAGAAAAGAGTATTTATGATAAAATTTTTAGATAAGAATTTATTAGAGTATATTGTCTAACTAAAACACAGATGTAATTTTATACGGATGATTAAAGACCACTATATGACATTAGATGGTAAATGCTCCAAGACCAAGATCAAGATCAAGTTATGAGCACCTTTACTCCCTTTCTGTCCAAAACAACAAGTCCAGCAGTGTTTTAGCACACCCTAAAACCATTAAAGTTAGTTCACATTTGAATAAATTTTTGTTCCTAAGCTTACCGATATAATTTTCGCTTGAAGCTAATTCTGTCACATTAATCCGGCATGCTCCCCTTGGGACGGTCGCTACAAAAGTGTAGCCCAGTGGCAGTCGAGGTTTCGAGAACAATCCTGAAACGAGCCTTCTTCCACATCTCAGCTCCCGAGAATTGCTGCCTGCTAATACAGACTCCCGTCCGATTACCTGAGAAAATAATTGATCGGATTACTATCCATGCATTTGGGTTTTTCCTTATAGTTTTATGTACAAGTGCTTGACAAATGCCTTCACAGACAGTCAGTCCTAGATGGAAACTAGGCCGAAATTGCCGTTGAGAGCGCCACTTTTTTCCCCTACTTATTCGCTGGTATGAGGCTATTCCATCTACGCTCTGATGGGTAGGTGAGCTCACGGGCTTAACCTGAGAGAATTTTCTAACACTAGCCCCAGCAAGAGCAGTGCTTCGCAGAATTTACCATCGGATCGGAATCGCGACCCACTGAGAAGATCCAGCGAGAAAGAAACTCAGTGGAAGAGCGCCACCATCTTGGGTGAAATTGCGCTAAGAACCTGTCAGATAGTATTTTTAATTAAGAAAATTGCGAAAGCTTAAACAGTTGAGAACATGAAATTTTCAATAGAATTAAATTTTAAAACAAGATTATTAATTAACTATAAACTTGTTAATATTATTATTTTACGTGAGTAACTTGATTAATTGTCAACGTAGATTAATAATGTATAAATTTTATAAAGCCTAATAACTGATAGTAGAGGCTTGTGAGTCCATACGAGTAGGTAGCACCACCGTGCCTATTTCTGACGTGAAGCAGCAATGCTTTCTGGTTTGAGTGGTGGACAACGATTGCACTTTACAATTGAGAATTCGACGAAATTGAGACGAGACTCATGTCTGAAGGTGGGCCGCCGTATTTACATAGTGAGGTCCATGGGCTCTTGTAGCCTTAGGACCATGTTATTGATTAGCTCATTCATCCATCTAAGCAATAAAAACACTTCCGTTTAAGGTAAAACTGGCATTCCAAAAATAAATATCAAATAGATACAAGCCACTTTCTATGCTGCCGATGCAACAACAAAATGGCAGTAAATATTGGTAGCGTTGACCTTAAAAGTTATGTCAGCCGTCAATAACATCAATAAACTTTCAGATTATTCTCAAACAAAGATAAATGTCGGCGCGATGCACATCCCATTGCATTGACGAGCATTAATTGCGTTGCACCCAATGTCAAACAACAATGCTCTCTACGCACAATAGGTTGTTTCCACAGCACATTGTCCAAGATACCGCATTATCTCGGCCAGTCTAGGGTAACAAAGTGAAGGCGATTTACGACGCTGATTGAGTTGGAATGAGACAATTGGAATATCAAATTGAGAGAAAGGCGTGCTAGTCTCAATGCGTGTTTATCTTGTAAGTGATGTTCACTTATAAATAAAGAAGATAGGGTGTTTGCTGCCAACAAAAACCGATAAAGATAAAAACAACAAAGGTACATTTATGTTTTTTTAGGTGATAAAAGCATAAAGACCTTAAAGACACCTCGATATAAATGCCTATCTTGAGACGTTGTGTAGAGTCCCCGTTCCCTATGATGCTTCTCGAATGAAGTACACCACTCGCCAATCCCATCAATTAAAAAAATAAGCTGTATACATGGTAGCAGAAATACACTGCATCATAAAAAAGCTTCCTATACTCATATATAACTAGTCAGGTCATAAGTATTGTCACACAGTAAAAACTTTTCTTTTAGAATGCTGGCCACAAAAACGTTTATTGAATTCGAATTTCGAATTGTTCATGAAAATAAAAATGTATACTTTCAGAATTTTACTCATTTTTAAATATGGAGTGGACGCTTAAAGAAAACCGTGTTGGAGTTATTGCGTTGCATCGTTGCGGTTACGCGCCAATTCAAATTTTTAACATACTGAAAAATAATGAATATAACCAAAAGATTCGTTTATCGTACCATCAAACGATACAATGATGACTCTAGTGTAGATGACAGGTCAAGAAGTGGTCGCCCTCGGTCTGTTAGGACTCCAGCAGTGATAAAAGCTGTGAAGGCGCGAATTCAAAGAAATCCCAAACGTAAGCAGAAACTGTTGGCCCTTTAGATGGGGTTAAGCAGAACCACGGTGAAAAGGGTGTTAAATGAAGACTTAGAGCTTCGGATATATCGAAGAAAGACAGGACATCGTTTGAATGCTTGTCTAATGGACCTGAGACTGAAGAGATGCCGCGCTTTGTTGAAGCGGTACGCGGGAAAAAAATATCGGGAAATTCTTTTTCGGGTGAAAAATTTTTTACCGTAGAAGAGAGCTACAACAAACAAAATGATAAGGTGTACGCACACAGTAGTGAAGAAGCGAGCAATCGTATTCCGCGTGTCTAACGAGGTCATTTTCCATCCTCGCTCATGGTATGGCTGGGAGTTTCTTATTGGGGCTTAACAGAGATACATTTTTGTGAGAAAGGTGTAAAAACGAATGCACTTGTGTATCAAAACACAGTCCTGACGAACCTTGTGGAACCAGTTTCTCATACCATGTTCAATAACAGGCACTGGGTATTCCAACAAGATTCGGCGCCAGCTCATAGAGCGAAGAGCACACAAGGCTGGCTGGCGGCGCGTGAAATCGACTTCATCCGGCACGAAGACTGGCCCTCCTCCAGTCCAGATTTGAATCCGTTAGATTACAAGATATGGCAACACTTGGAGGAAAAGGCGTGCTTAAGGCCTCATCCCAATTTGGAGTCACTCAAGACATCCTTGATTAAGGCAGCCACCGATATTGACATGGACCTCGTTCGTGCTGCGATAAACGACTGGCCGCGCAGGTTGAAGGCCTGTATTCAAAATCACGGAGGTCATTTTGAATAAACTTTAGTGTCATAAGAATCTATGTTTTGTTAAGTTCATTTTGGTATATGAATGGTTACATAATGAATAAACTTGTTTCAATTATTTTACATTAAACATGTGACAGAATTTATGACCTGACTAGGTATATACTGTTAAAATCGATCACTTTGTTTTTCCTATTCCAATCGGCAGTCTTCTATGCACCAGTCGCTATTTGTGATTCACTTTGATAAACCGGTACGACATGAGAATCCTCTCATCGTGGCCACCGGGAACTACATAGTCGATCCTGCGGACCAAATGGTAAACAGTCGATGTCGCCCAAAACACGTCATTTCGGATCCTCCCGATCCACTAGCAGTGCTTTTAGGCACCCCAAGCACCGATCACCGTCCTTGTCGAACCCGTCGCTTGCGACGAAGGGCTCGGCGAGTAAATTAACTCACACACACAGACACAGCCCACTGAGATTTGCGCCAGATTTTCTGAGTGGGTCGCGTTTCCGTTCCAGTGGTAGATTCTGCGAAGCACGGCTCTTGCTAGGGTTCGTGTTAGCAACATCGTCAGGCTTGAGCCCCGTGAGCTCACCTACCAGTTAAAGTTACGCTGATATGGTCTCTCTAGACCATCAGCTTAGGTATGAAAAAAAAGCTATTTGTGACAACACTATTTTTCCTATGTCTCTTACATTTTTCATTCCCTGCCCTTAGTAAGAATTTTCGCTTTCTAAAGTCTTGTTCTGTCATATTTAATCAAGAATAGACAGGTATAACAATATTAATATTAAGCTAAAATATTACACCCATAGATTAAAAAAACAAGAATACTAGATTATTTACACTTAAGCTTACACTTGAAAGCGGGTTTTGTCATTTTCATTACTACGCCTTGAGATATGTAGTCTCATTTATATACTAAAATAGTTTAAAGGCATGCATGACTAATTTGCGGCAAAAGTAGAAAGGTTGAAGCTACCATTGTAGCCTCTAAATATCATCTACCAGTAATTACGTTGTAATTTTTAGGTTAGGTTTTTAACGCGGTTAAGATACTACGTTCGTGAATACGGGTTTACTACTTATTTACTAAAGAATATACATATATATAAAAGCATTTCAATTCCGGGATGGTTGCATAACTAAATACGAGTACACTCATCGTCATATTCATTAGGCCACTCACATCACTACCAGTTTCATGCATCTTTATGACCGGATAAGCCGTCAACAGCTTGCACGAAAGAATCAAGATTTTTACCACCCAGTTGAATGAACTCTCAAAGATTCTCTTGTTTATTATTTGTTGTTAATATGTACTTTAAATTCGCTATAATAAAAAAAACTTTTAGATGTCTTTATTGACATGCATATAAATACAAATTACCGTTATACCATAGTCTTAAGTACTGAGGTATTAAATTTTAGATCTCTTATGTTCTCGGTGCTGTTGAGTTTGTAATAAATAATTAATTAATGCTTCACGCTTTATGACTTTTAGTTATTCTCAAAGAGGGTTGATCCAAGGCAGGCTGGCGGGTCGTAAAACTCATGCCAAATCCCGACGAAGGATAATAAGATAAAGGACGACACGCTGCGCCAATCCTACATTTTCTATTCTATCAGCCCATGGACGTCCACTGCTGGACATAGGCCTCCCCCAAGCCTCGCCACAAAGACCGGTCCTGCGCTGCCTGCATCCAGCGGATCCCCGCGAACCTCAATAGGTCGTCGGCCCACCTTGTGGGAGGCCTACCCATGCTACGTCTCCCAGTACGCGGTCGCCACTCAAGAACCTTCTGGCCCCAACGGCCATCTGTTCCGCGAGCAATGTGTCCTGCCCACTGCCACTTCAGTGTCGCAATCCTACATAACATGAGGTAATGGCAAAAAAAAGAAGATTTCATGGCTTCCGTTACTTAACGTTTCACACTAAGCAGTTGCAAATTAATTTGACTTCAACGAATTGAAACAAAATACACACACACAATGAAAGTAGACGGCTTTAAGTATCCCACGACGCCAGCGTTATCTCAAATGCGAAAAAAACCCATTACATTTGCATTTTATCATATGAAGGTATAATTTAAGAAACATTGTCCTTGTTTGCTATTATTTAAATCGTGTGATATCAATATACATATATACGGATTGAAAACTTCATTATGCTAATGTCTTTCTGCATTCCAAAGATATGTTTTTTTCGAAGATTGGATGTGCTAAATAAAAGATAAAATTAACCACATTAGTCGGTTTTCTGTTAGAATGCTTTCTGTTTTAGATAAAAGGACTTTTGAAATAAATTTGTCGA